AGCACACTGTCCCTTTAGGACTTTTTTTTTTTTAAAAAAAAAAAAAACAGTTGGCGAGGTCGGGGGCGAGATGACGGAGTGAGCCCCAGATCACCCAGTTGGGGGCCCCGGCCATACTCTCCCCACAGACGCATGTCTGCAGCCCGACCCCTGCCTGCCGACCTCCTCCTGGAGCCGCACCTTTTCGAGCAGCTCGTGGAGATTCTGTCCACCATGGAGGTTCCCGGCATGACAGAGCCCACGGAGGGCCTCGCGCCCGCAGAGGACTTGGATCTCCTGGGGTGCCTTATGGAGGACAGGTGGGTCCCCGCAGCCTTCAGGTGTGCTGGAAGAGCAGGCCTCTGTGCAGAGCAGGCCTCCCCAGGCACTGTGCCCCTACCCGGCTCTGAGGGCCACCCGGTGTGTGCGCGTCCCAGGGTGGGCCTGCAGCGCTGGCCATTAAGATGCCTCAAGGTTTTGGCCCTGGGGAGTTGGCAGGGCCTTCCAGAGAAGGGGCTGATTTTAGGAAATCACAGAGCACCAACAGGAAGGGCTGAGGCCATGCAGTTCCTGGCCCTGGAGTCACCCAGAGGGGAAAAGGGATTTTCCCAGGACTGACGAGGCTCCTGGTGGCAGTGGAACTTGCCAGGCCTCCAGACACACCCAGCCCACCACAAGGTAGGCTCCGCCCGAGCTCACGTGGGCATCGCACACGGGTGCGTGCATTTTATTCCTCCCCTTGTGTGGGGGCGGGGACGGCCAGGGAGCTGCTGGCACTCCTGGGCAGGGCCCACCTGAGCTGTGCTGGAGCAGTCAGACCAGTGGGCAGGTCCTTCCCACCCCAGGTTCCCCGCGGCCCCACCTGCTTTTTGCGTCAGGTGTTAGTCATTAAAGTCCCAGGCCTGGGGCTCAGGCTGGTTGTGGTGTTAGGGCTGGAGGGATCTGGAATTCTTTTGCTTCCTCCCACTCCGCCCCATTCCCCCATTCGTGGATGGGGACAGGGACCTTCAGCCTAGGGCAGTGTGTGGCTGAGGTCCCACAGAATGTGGGACAGTGCCAGCCAGCTCTCCCCCACCCCCTACCTCCTCAGTAAGGAACACAGACCCTGGGAAGACCGGGCAGCTGTGCAGGTGCCAGGCTGGCTGGGCGGGCCTCCGAGCCCCGGCCACTGAGAGGCCCTGCTGCCCGGGAATCCCCAGCAGCCACAGTCACCGGGATGGAATGTGTGGGCAGAGCCCCCAGGGCGGGGCTGGCCCAGCTGCCCAGAGCCAGGAAGGGCAAGCGGTGGGGGCAGGCCACCCCCATTCCACTCAAGGCTTTGGTTTAGAGGTGGGGGACCCAGGCACAGGCCTGTTATCCCTTCCATCTAGAGGGATGGTGACAATGGGGACTCTAGGGACCAGGGCACAGGTCTCGAAGTCCTCTTACCCCCATAAAGAAGGAGGGTACACTGAGGCCCCGGTGGGAGCCCGGTGGTCAAGATGGGTCAGTTCACCCCTAAAGTCTGCCCAACCCCCTTGCCCAGCATTCCCACCACAGCCACTGGGCGGGCCTCTCAGGGTACTCCAGGGGCACTCGGCTGGTGCGTCTGCAGCTGCCCAGCTCTCCCGGGTGCGCTGGCTGGCCACCTTGGACGCTGTTGGTGCCGATGCCTCGGAGCCCGCGTTCCCCCTTCCCACCCAGCGAGACTCAGGCTGTGTCCAGAACCCCTAGAAGCAGCCACCAGAGGACTTAGGCCCCCAGACAACCCCTCTCCCTGGCATCTCATGCTGAGGCCTGCCCAGTGGCCCTGTCAAATTGAGTCCACCGAGGATGGGACCTCGTAGACGGTGCCTGAGCCAAAGTGGGAGACAGAGGAGGGCGCAGGAGGGCTCCCTGCTGGTCCCAGACCAGACACACCCTAATGCTGTGTGCCCCAGCAGGGACCAGGTGGCCCTGCGGCTGGCCTGCATTGGGGATGAGATGGACCTGCGTCTCAGGAGCCCTCGCCTGGCCCAGCTGCCTGGGATGGCCATGCACAGGTAAGCGGCCGTGTCCTGCCTGGGGCCTTGACACCTGGAAGAGTCCTGAGCCAGGGGGTGGGGGAAGTTGTGTGTGTGTTGGGGGGGGTGCCCAGAACCGAATGCAGGCTGACCCTGAGGGAGCCCTGGAAGGAAGTGGTCCCGACACTCCCAGGCACTCCTGAAACCCTTTGAGGGGTCTGCTCCTAGAGCTCACCCCACCACCTGTCTGTGGTGCCTGGGTGGTAGACAGAGAAGACCCTGGCCCTTCCCCACAGCGCACTGCCACAGGGTCTTCACTTACACACTGAGGGAAATGCTGGGTGAGCTCGGCCTAGGCCCTGGGGCAGGCCTCTCAGCTTGTCTCCCTGGGAAGGGGAGGGGGGCAGCCACTTGCCCAGGGCCCTGCAGAGTGGGTGTTTGTTTTCCAAGTGACCAATTCTGGGTTGCAGGGCCCAACCCCGGGTAGACAAGTGTGGGGCAGAAAAGCAGAGTGAAGGGAACCAGCGGTTATAGTAATGGCTATGTCGCTGGAATCCCACGTAGTCAACCGCGGTTCGCTTCCCGGACCCGGTGGCTTAAAACTCACTCTGGGTGCATGTGCGTGCGTGCCCAAGATCCCGAGAGGAGAATGGAGGAGAAGGGATTGCGGCGTGACCATCCCCTCGGGGGGTGATTTCTCGCTTTCTGACTCTGTCTCTCTCTGTCTGTCTGGCGAGTGCACGCGCCCTATAGTGAAAATCTCTCAAAAAAAAAAAGAAAAGAAAAGCAGAGTGAATTTAGGACCGTGAACAGGCCATGGAGAGGGCGGAGGTGCCTGGCAGAGGGACCAGGTGGCAGTGAAGGTAGGGGACAGGCTGTGTCTGGCCCATTTCTGTAGTCACAACCTCCTTCCGTCTTTCTTCTTTCAGCCTGGGTCTGGCTGTCACCTACAACCAGACAGGTGTCAGGGGTGTTTTCAGAAGCCTTGCCAACAGTCTGGGCAGCCTCAGGCAGATCAGAACCTGGGTAAGCCTGCAGCCATGACCTCACTGTCCCCATAGTCTGCCTCCCTTAGTGTACCCCTCCAGTATGCCACAGTCCCCACCACTCCTGCCTCGCCTGTTTCCACACTTGCTTGGTCTGTGGGCCTTTAGGCGAGATATCTGGTTGATCCAGTGAACAAACGAGGCCCAGAGCAGAGTCGGCACCCTCCTGCCTCTTCTCTGCTAAAAAGCCCTCACCTAAGTGTCCTCAGGCCTTCTCCCCACTCCTCCCCCTCAGGAACCCCTTCCTTCTCTGGTCTCACCTCGTCCCAGACCCCTCCAGCCCTTGGTGTGGCGTCCCTTCCAGATACTCCACACCCTATCTGCCCCTTCTTGGTCTCACAGGTGACCCCTGGCCAAGTGTGCCGGCAGGCTCTGCCCGCGATGCTGCTGCTGCTGCTGCTGGTGCTGAGCGGGGTGCTGCACCTGCTGCTCAAGTGAGGCCGCTGCCTCGGGCCCGCCCCGCCTCGCCCGGCAGGCTGGCCCCGCCCCGCCCCACCCCGCCCCGGAGGCTGCTGGCCCCCCCTTGCTGGTCTTTTTAATGCTGTTTTGTTTTCGTGTTCGGACGAGATCCCTTTTTTATATTTAAACTCTGAGATAGTGCTGGGACACTTCTGAGGTTTCATACTTAGTTTTTGTCAGACAAATGAATTCATACCTCTGGGCTGGTTACTGGTTAACTGCCGCTCCCAGGCCCTCCCCGTGGGCTGTGGGCTGCGGGCGGCGGGGGGAGTGCTGGCCACACCCCTGTGCCTGTGGTGCCCGCGGCAAAGGATCTGCTGGGATAGATTCCAGGGTCGGGAGTCAATAAAATGTTGGTTTCCAGCTGTCTCTGCCCCTCTCTAGGGGGTGGGTGCATGTGCCCGGGGAGGGGGGAGATGGAGTCATGAGCTGCAGCCGCCTCCCTGCCCCGACGACCCCAGAGGCTATCTTGGCGCCTGGCAGCATGGGTTGCCAAGTTTACCTTCTCTGTCCCACCTGGAACCTGAAATCCAGCCGGGACTTTTCCCCTTCAGATTTGAGCCTGTTCCCCCACCACACACACACACAGCCACTCCTTGCTGGAAGGGATACAGCCAGGGCTCTGCTCCTAGAGGGGTGTGGACAACAACAGGTAGGGACCACTGTGGGACTCAGGGTCTGCCCAGGCCTTGGCCTAGTCCACCTCCCAGGACGTGGGCTGTCTGCTCACCACCCCACACACCCCTTTGGCTCAAAGCCCAGGCTGGGTGGGACCCAGGTCTCAGACCTCCCTCCCTCTGGCATCCTTAGTCTCCTCCTCCCTACCCCACCCCCCCTTGGCCCTCCCCGCACCAGAGTGGACCTCCAAGTAGGGCCCTTCCATAGCCCCAGGGCACCACATCATGCCTCCTTCCTGCTTACCCTCAGGTCACAGGCCTGGCCTTCACAGCCTGGGACCATCTCAGGACATCAGGGATGAGCCCCAGGCCTCCAACTCCAGGACAGGATGCTCCCTACTCCAGAGTTTCCCGGTACTTGCCAAGAATACGCATTAGGATGTGACCTCAAGTTCCCCCACTGTGGGCGTGGCCGCTCAAGGTCCTGAGGGTGCACTGCAGAATCAGCATGGTTAGGGACCATAGCAAGGCTAAACCCAGGGTTGCTGTTTCCAGGAAGCCCTCCAGAGCCACTCAGGCCCTGGCCCGCTTCCTCCTGGGCTGTATGGACAGGCTACCTGCGGACAGGACACCTGCTGTGGACTTGCCAGGTCCCTGGGCCTTTCTTCTCAACAAACCTGGGCTCCTTCCATCAGGAGGGACAGATTCCCAGACACAACTGCTGCTGAGACACTCCCCCCAGGGACACCATCTGTGATCATCCTGCCCGGGCTGGGTTTCAGAGCTCTTCCTGCCCACTGCTACTGGGCAGCCTCCCTGTGCTGGGGCTCACCCATTGGCTCCAGCTTTAGTGCTCACATTCCTGTCAGGGAAGAGTGCACGTGGTCTTGCTGCCCAAGGGTGCATGCACTAGCCAGAGAGATGAAGCAACCCCAATGGGGAGTGCTCACGCCCCAGGCTCCTCCACTCCGGTGTTCTGTCAGGGTCTGGGACACGTTCTCAGTGAGTTTCAAGCCACCAGGCTGGGACTCAGACCATGTGGTCCACCATGTGGGTTCTAGCTCCGGTCACCCCCAGGCCACTGGGCCAGCCCCACAGTAACGTAAGGCACGTTGGCTGGACTCCAAGGTTTTCCCACTATTGTGAATAAAGAGTCACCTGGGAGCCTGAGGTTCTATTTAATGTTCACTTCAGGAGCTGCCTCCTTGGGGAGGCCATGCTGGAGCTGGCCAGGACTCGCAGTCGCCTGGCCCTGTGGCCATCCTGACAGAGGACTGGGACTGCCTGCCTCCCTGGACACTGCCCACACCCTGGCACGAGCCCAGAAGCCCGTCCTCCAGGGCAGGGCCAATCTCTCTGGCACACAGCAGGCACTCAATTCCTCTTTCTAGGGTGCCTAAACCAACACCAGACTCCCACCCCCAGTCGGGGGGCCGGTGGCTGTTAGGGCTACTCAAACCCTAAAACCTGTTAGGTTCAGTGACAAAAGAGCTGAGGTTCTGGCCCCAGGGGGCCACAGGCTTCAAGGAGCCCCTTTGGCCCTGGCCTGATGTGAGGCTTAGCCAGGGTGTGCATGGCATCCACAGGACAGGCTCACTGAGGGCTGTGTGGCCTGTGGGCGGAGTCGGGCGAGTGGAGCAGGAGCCTCCCGTCTCCAGGTGCCCAGCACTGCAGCACCCCCCGCCATCAGCCAGATGTCTCTTCCAGGGGGAACTGGGGACTGGGTGCTCCTTTATGTGGCTGTCCAACAGCCTACCAGGAAGGGAGGGCCAATAGGTCGTCCTGCTGGCACCTCCTGGTCACTGCGGACACTCCCCCTCCTGGGGGTCTGGGTCTTGGCCACCCTGCAGCGTGTCCACGTGGCTGTAGGCTTTCCAGGCCTGCAGGTTGCAGCTCTTCAGGATGGAGCCCAGCTGCCTCCCGGGGCCCACCTCAAACGTCCTGGGGAAGGCGGTGCCTTTCCTTCTCTCATATATGGCATGCATCGTCTGCTCCCACTTCACCGGGGACACCACCTGCTGGACCAGCAGCTTCTGGATGTGTGTGGGGTGTGCGTACCGGCTCCCGCTGACATTGGAATGCACGGACACCAGAGGCTTCCTGATCTCCACCGTCTTTAACACCTGCGCCAGCGGCTCCAAGGCTGGTGCCATGAGGCGAGTGTGGAACCCGCCACTCACCGGCAGCATCTTAGTGCGTCGGAAGTGATACTTGGAAGAGTTCTTCTGGAGAAACTGCAGAGCCTGGGAGAGGAGGAGAGGTTTAAACTAAGTGACCTTGGGGTGGAGACCGGCAGAAGTCACCACTGGCCATAACACCCCGTCCTACACACACACAACACCCCATCTCCTACACACACACACCACATTGTCCTACACACACATCATCGCCCTACACAAACACCCCATCCTACACACACATCGTCCTACACACACACACAGAGTCCTACACACACAACACTCCATCCTACACACACATTGTCCTACACACACACACACACACACACACAGAGTCCTACACACACAACACTCCATCCTACACACACATCGTCCTACACACACACAACACTCCGTCCTACACAAACACTCCATCCTACACACGCACATGCCACCCTGTCCTATACACACATGCACGTGCACACACACGACATACCTCTCTCCAGTCATACACATTTACTCCCCAAGTCCTTAAGTGAAACCTCGGCGCACATTTTCAGTTCCAGTGAAGGAGTGCTGTCTACCCAGTGACCTGGAAGTCCTCAGGAATCTGACCACGCACATGTCCCAGGTGGGAAGGGGACAGGCCACCATCTGGTTGAGCCCTAAAGGCGTTAGACATGGTCTATTCCTATACCATCACTTACTAGGTGGCCCAGGCACCCCTTAGCCTCTTTGAACCTCTTCTTTCTCATCCCTAAGGAAATGGCTTCACAAGGATGCTAGGAAGGTGAAATCTGGTAAAGCAGCCAAGCTGCAGAGGCTCAGGCTCAGGGCGCAGCTTTGTAACTGACCCCTGTTGGGAGGCCCCAGGCTCAGATCAGGGCTGGCCTGGATGTGCTGGGTGCCCCGTGATTCTGGCTGCAAGGCTGGCAGGAGGACCAGCTCCATGAGGCCCTGTCGGGCACCTGGCCTCTCCAACTACCATGTGAAAGAAAGAAACTTTAAACATTCTAATAGGGTGTGTGAGAATATCTGATAAAAGGGGGGGGGAACCAACATTTTCAATTAGTGTCCTGTTTTTCCTCAATTTTCTTTCCTTTCTCTACTTATTTTTTTCTT